AAAAATGTAGACCACCCTGTTCTACAAGGCAGTAATTTCCAGTGTTATGCATTCGTTTGTACTCACATTTTTATATAAGACACAAAATTATAATCAATAAAATAAGTCTGTAACTGAAAATTCTGAGAATTCGCACAGCCAATAAGAAACTACGCTTGCGATTTTTACGTGCGGAATTCAACAATTATATCTACACGATCGATAACTGGCACAATCGATATTATGTACTTTGCCGCAAATCGAGATGAACACATTCTCTAAAATCGAAATATGCACACGTGCGTATTTTATAATTTATTTAAATTCAACAATGCCTACCTTTTTATACTGGAAAGACCTGTTCCTGTTCAAAAATGCTTAATAATGACCCGCCTCATTGTAGCGTCTTCATATCAGCACTTCACCTTCCGGAAAGAAGTATTGGGTAGCGTGTTACAGTTGGGCTCACTGATGAGAATAACGCGGAATAATAATGCGCTACAAACTGAATTGCCTTATGGGAAGCCGATATCGTCCGAGAAACTCCACCCGGCTCGAATTCCAGACTTAATACAATGCCAGGGTGTGACGAGGCATCGACACCGACTGAATTCGTCATCTCAGTGTGTACACAACTGTTTATCTACTATAAATCCTTCAGACAACCTTAACCACTCACAACGTTTTAAGTCCAAAGTTGGGCGTATCGTACTGTTGACAGTATGGAATGCCGGTGCAACTGACAACATCGACTGCAAATTTAGCTAAATTAAATATGTGCGTTGTCTATTGACTAAAATTTAAAAAAAAAATGATATAACTTTCCAATACGGTGTCTAGTTCTTGTTTATTTAATTTCTGGATTATTAACTACAAATAAACCCCATATTCAAATAAGGTTTGGACATTAAAATTTGAATGTGTGGATTAATAACTGTAAAAGATAAAACTACAAATTCTGAAACAGTCGTATGCATTTACATTATTGGTCACGCGACCGTTTATCTAGTCGGTGAGCTATTGGAACCTCCTACATTCGATGTATACCAAATCAATAGTACATAATGCATCATACACATTCCATTCGGTGTATGCACCTTTTAGTGCATTGACCATCAAACACGACCAGTTTCGTCTGTCGTAACTTACCTATTCCAATAAGGGTACTTTTCTTTCCACGGAAACACGAACTTCAAGACAAAACGTTCCGACGATCACGTCTTTATCACAATGCTTTAAGCTGTTCCTAGCACCAACTCACAACTCCAACCATGACTGTAACAGACAGAGAATACTGCACACAGCTTTCTTCCAGTCTGCCATATATGGAGCTACTACCTTCAGCCCTCAATTTTAGCCGGCTGGGACTGTCCCGCCATCTGTTGCATGCATAGTGAAATCTATTACAGTGCGGCATTTGTCGGCAACATCTCATGGCCATATTTTCCGGCCGAGAGAGCTCAGTCAGTAAAGTGCGCAAAGCGACTGGTTTTAGATTCGTTTGTTGGGATTCGATTCCTGGCAAGAGTATGCATTTTATTCTCCACCGTTTCCAGTCCACCTCCAGCGGAGCATCCAGTGCACCAAATGGGTGGGTAAGACCCTTTCAATAACAGTAAAACAGGCTTAAAATGAGGTTATGGGATATGCTATATCTGGGGCCTACATGGTGTAATATCACACGAGAGAATCAGAAATCTCGCTGAGAACGAAGCTAATTACTCACGTCCATTAAGCATGAAGGAGAATTGAGCTTTTCCTCCATTTTCCATATGCCATGGCGTTTATTCTCAAGCTTTCACGACTCTGCAATTGTCAAATAGATATCCTTGATAATACAACAGTTTAACCTCAATAGTTCCACTGCTTGTGTTAAAATTCTCCCTTTGATCCCAAATCCTATTCATCGCTACATGCACTCAAGCCATTACTATGCATAAAACTCACGTTCTGGAGGTACCTGGTTCAAATCTCAACTCAGAAATAACCCGTGTGATCAGATTATCATTGGCTTTTGAGTTCTTGGTAGACAGCACGGCAGTACCTTCAAGTACGACATATCCATCCCCTTCATAATCATTTCCTAATCACCTTCCAAGATCAATCGAGCTCACTGGAATTCAAAATCACCCTGCCATCATATTAATAAGATAAATGAGAAAGAATAATGAAAAAAGTGGTCATGGCCTAACTCAAGGTAATATCAGAGCAGGAAAACCATGAATAACTTAAGTCGGCGTAACTGGTTCCCAGGCTACGATATGAAACCACGACATTCTTAATACAAAGCAGGGGTACAAGAAAGATTCAGGTACCACAAAATTAATTTAAGTTCAGAATAATTCAGACCTCATTAACAGGCTAGTGTCTCCAGTGCTTGCAGTTCTAACGACCCTGACGACCGAGGCCCCAGGCACCCCTGAAATGTCAGCAAACTACTACCAGACTATGCAGTGCAACCCAGAAGGTTGCCATCCGCATACTCACTGTTGTGTGAAAATAGAATCCCGCAAACAGATAACGATTATGAAAAGCAAGGTGACATGACGACTCTAGTAAACAGCGTGGGTCGGTGAAGGATTTCAATGTAAACTTAATGGCTAAGTGTACACGACACTTTTACTTCTGTGCACTGTCGAAACACTAAAATCTTTTGAAAATGCTACAATTTTAATTCCACAAAACATTCATAAGGAAAAAAAAGAGCTGTCCTGCTACACACCATGTCAGCATTTGGGGGGAGAGACGGTATAGCTCCTGATAATTCTTGACGTCGACACTAGATGGGGGTGAGTGGTCAGCATCACGCCAGAACAGCGCTTTACCCTTAGAAAAGGATCCCGGTACCCACTGGACAGGAGGCTGGGTGGCGCCCAGAACTGATCTGGATGCAGAGGCTACAGGAAAAATCTTCTGTCCCCATCAGGGATCAAACCCTGGTCCATCGCCAGTCACTATACTGACTGAGCTACCCTGGCAGATCATAAGAAAATAATTCAGAACATAAATGTTATCAACTGATGTCACCCAACAAAATAAAATCTACATACAAATCAACAGCGACAGAGGATATTTGTGTAAGGTAAACATTGTATCGTAAACTCTTGTCATATATTAACACATTTATTGTTTAAGCGTTGAGTGGCATTTAATGGAGAAGAACCAGGATACATAAGGCATGAAATATACCACACGGCAAGATCACAGTTTTGCTACATCAAGAAATCATGCACGTACATCAGACCAGGAAAATATTACCTCTTCTGTATTATTTCTGCGTAATATCTATACAAAGTGCACCTTATTCAGTGTGTCAATATGTACAATTGAACAACAGGCTCCTGAGAAATAAAACAAATTAATATTGTCCTTCTCATGGCAACTACGTAACATTCTTTAACTCGGAAATATGCTATAAAATATTTCTGGGACATTATACTTCCATCTGCACAGGCAGGCAGTCTTTATATATTATAGTCTTTGGCTATTTACGTTTGGTAAAGTACGGTACTTCTCAAACTCATTCAACATTCTCATAGATGCTCTTAGATGTGACAGGACTGACGTACCGGTCAACACGCTCATAAATGTGATGAGGCGTGGCAACGGGGGTTTCAGGAGCGGGTGTCGGAGTAGGAACAGCTCGTCCCGCAGTTTCTCGAAACTGGAAGTTAATTTTGGTGGGAGAATCGGTATATCGATCTGGGTTCTTCTTGTCTCTAGACTGTCCAGACAGGACTGGATTACCAAGACCACTTCTGTCAGCAGACTTCTGTTTCCGACACTTGCACACAAACACGGCTACTAGCACCAATGTAAGAATAAGTACCATTGCTGCCAACACACCAACAAGCCAACTTAGTTTCTCATCTGAAAAGGAAACAACAGAGTAGTTCTTAACCATCAAGTACAAAGAATGTCCGAACACAATCAACATTTCATCTCAGACTATGCTAAATATTGAAATATCATAATGAAATAAAATAAATAAATTAAAAGGACTTTCATATTCATGAGGACCTGATATACAGTAACAAGTCTGAAACTCAGAACACTGACTTAAGTACTCAAAGATTATCTGGAAAAAAAATTAAAACATGATCATCGGCCTGATGACGGAGGCAGTATGACCTCCGAAACGTTGGTCAACATCGACCAGACTACACAGCGCAACAACCCAGAAGACAGAAATCTTCATACTCTGATGACGGAGGCAGTATGACCTCTGAAACGTTGGTAAATATCGACCAGACGACACAGCGCAACAACCCAGAAGACAGAAATCTTC